CTCTCCAGTTCAAGAGCAAGGGTGCCCGGGGCTGGGGATTTAGCTCAGCAGCAAAGCGCCTGCCTGGCACGTGCAAGGTCGTGAGTTCGGTTCCCAGTACCGGAGAAAAACCAAAACCAAAAAAAAAGAGCAAGGGTGCTGTAACAGCAGGGGGTGCCAGGATGTCTCCAAATAAAATAGGACAAAAGGAATATAGAAAGGAGATCAAAAAATTATAATTTTTAAATTGTACGTTTAAGAAAAACTGTGAGGAGCCAGGCGTGGTGACACACACCTGTAGTCTTGCCACTCAGGAAGCTGACACAGGAGGACTGCCACCAGTTTGCGGCCAGCCTGGGGTACAAGAGTTCAAGGCCAGTCTGCACTACACAGTGAGACCCTGTCTCAAGAAAACAAAAAAAGGAAAGAAAAAGAAAGAAAGAAGGAAAGCAAGAAAGCAAGAAAGAAAGAAAGAAAGAAAGAAACAGAAAGAAACAGAAAAGAAAACCAAAAGGAAATGAAAAGAGAAACTGTGAGGGCTCAAGGATGGAAGGCAGGCCGAGGGAGGGAAGAGGAGGAAGTGGAAAGAAGTGTGGTGTGCGTGTGCTGCCTCCCTATGGTGAATGCAATCATTACGTACTATAAAAATGCACAAATAAAAATAAAAATTGTAATTAGGAAAATAAATCAATTTACAAAGCAAGAGAAAAAAGAAATGAAGAAAAACTGTCTTCTTACATATATACACACACAGTGCTCACATCCATGCGTTTCTCCCGTTAGTAGCCAGCATCATGTATCTCTGCTTTTCTATTTGTTTCTACGTATCCAAAGGGAAAAAAAATGGGTGTGAGCCTTGGAGCTGAATCCTGTCCTCTGGAGCAAATGAGACAAGGGTTTCTGTGTTGTGGTCAGGGAAGAAATGGTCATTGGTCTTTAAGCAGCACGTACAAGGATCTTAAGGTGTGTGCATGTGTACTGACCAGAAAAAAAATTAAGAGGATAAGGGGAAAAATAAATAATCCCATAGCACAGTCCTTTTATATTACTGCAGATAAGTCCTTTATTATAATGAATACATGAAATATCTTTCAGTCAGGGAGAGTAAATGAGTCTCTACAAGCTAATAAATTTTTAATACCTTGACTTACTCAGGTGATTGAAAAGTTTGGGCAAAAAGGAAAATTTCTGATATAATTTCTTGATCTTACCAGATAGGAACATAACAATGCCAGCAACAGAACTGTCATTTTGTCAGAGTATTATTCACAAATTTTTCATGGTTTCCGCAACAGCTGACTTAAGGGAGTAAAACAAAGTACACACTTTCAAAGCACTTCTTGTGATGGAGCAGAAAACCTTGATAAGTAGTTCAGCTGGACTTTTGTCTCATCTCTTCCCTAACCTGATAGTCTCAGCAAATTCTTTAACTTCTAGTTTCTACACACAAAGCATTATTAAAGAGCTGCTGGGATATTAAAATAGCTGAGGTGAAAACACTTGAAATGTAGTAAAAATACACATCATTACAGAGTATAAGATCTGAGTGAGCTGAGCTGACCAGTATGATAAGAAGCTTACTGTAGAAAAGCTGAGATTCATAGGTTTATGTCTCCATTTCTCTTGGATACAACGTATTTAACAGAATGGGTTATATAGAAGAAGCACAAGAAATAAGCAGAGGAGACAGAGCCTGAGCCTCTTCAAATGGATCACTCATTGCCATCTAGGTGTAAATTAGAGGCTAACCACTGGTTGTAACCAATACAGGACGGGATCTATGCATCAAAATGCACAGGCACCTCAGGGTCACCCTCACAGGCAATGACAACTCGCCTGGTCCTTGCCCTGGCCCGGTATCTGCAGGTAGAGGCCCTGGAATTTCCTATCTCCCTGCAGTCTGTGACCTTCACAACACCTTCATGACAGTTCATCAAACCATTCTTGCACTGGATACTGGTGGTGCTGCAGATACTGCGAATGTTCCAGATGTCTTCATGGATGAAACTGTTCAAGGGCTTGCACCTTGGACTAGTCATCTTCCGTCTGTGCATCATCAAGTTGCAGTAGTTATCACTGCCACCTGTCTCCTGGGGATCCACATGCTGCCGCAGGAACCGCTGGTACATGCGATCCTGGCCATAGGAGGGCGGCACCAGCCCGAGCCCCAGCAAGGTCAGCAGCAAGAGCAGAAGCAGTGAATGGGTCCTCTGTAGAGCCATAACCACCTTAGAGGTGCCTAGAGAGGGAGCGAGGGACCAGAGAAAAGATGGTAAGAACTCGGCACTGGAGACATGCTGACAACAGCAAGCTGACGCCTCCTTGACTCCAGTCTCCTCTTCCTCCCTGCTTTTCACACATAAGTTCCCAACTTTTCCCACCCTTGTATCCCTAAGAGTGAATATTTCTGCCAAAGTGAACTTCTCTGAAAACAGAAGCCTTTCTTTTTTCTAGACAACAGTAGGTATAGCCAGTACAGTAAGTCAGGGCCAAACTGTCTGTGTTTGGTTGCCCAAGAATACACAAAAAGGGAAAGGCCTGTGAGATGGGAAGAAACTGTTCAAAAGGAAAGAGAAACTGGGATGGGGAAAGGGGAAAAGAAGGAAGGGAAAAGAAACAGTGAATATATATATTATAGTAGTTGAGGTAGCTATGCTACTAATTTCTATTAGTTCATTGAAAAGAAAGGTTTGTGCTTATATTGTTTGATCAATTTTTCATGCCCATATTTTGTAATCTGAGCAATTACTTTGAGGATAACAGTACGCAATGCACTAACCATTGTTCCTCTCCTCCTATCTTGGTTTGCAATTTTGTATCAGTATTTAGTGTTTTTTTCTCTTTAAAATAAAAAGGGAAGGGCAGATCTGTGTAAATCTGGAGTTCTATATCTTTTAGGGTGATTACTCAGTGTGTCTTTGGGGAGTGTCTTGGTCCCTGGGGGCTTCACTTGCCAACAGTTTGGAAGGACTTGGGTCAAAGAAATTCTATGCGCCAATTTTCATACCTTACATCTAAGAATTGAGGGAGGTGGAGAAATGAGCAGAGAAAAATTTCAACCTGGCCTTCCCTCTCATATGACTATTCCAGTGGTATAAAATTGGGGTGGTTTTTGGAAATCTTATTAATCTTTTTTTTAAAAAAACAGGTTGTTATAGTACAACAACTCTTGATAATCTCCTACCTCTTTTGTCTGTAACTCACTATTGTTTGTCTATTTGTTTTCCTGAGAAACTATTTTGTAGATAATAATATGTAAAACAATAACCTTTGATAATTTCCTACCATTTTGTCTGTAATTTGCTAAGTCCCTCCTATTATTATGTTATCCTTCTTTTATTCTTTAAAATAAAAAAAAAAAAAAAAACAGGTTGTTGAAGACTTGCTGAGAATCGCCTCTTTCTACCAAATTTCAAGGGATGAAGTGGGGTGACTGGGTGACACTAACTAGCCAAACGCTGCCATCTGACGGTCACTCCTGGGATTAATGTGAACTGTGACTGCACTTGAGTCCTGCGGGGAAGCAAAGTCGACTGACTAGAGCACACTCATTCCTTGTTCACAAAGTCAGCAGCCTAAAGCAACAAAGACAGTTTTTCAGAGTGCAACGAATGCATGTTTATTCATGCAGCCTAACAGCTGCCCTGGCAAAGTCTTGATCCAACACAGGTAGACACTGCTGTCCTCTGTTTCCAAAGATCCTGCTTCATGATGGTCGGCTCTGCTGTCAGAGTGACTGAAACAAATGCCTTCCGAGGGGCCTGTCCTGCAAAAGTCTGGCCTTTGATTAGTGACACTGACCAACAGTAAACATAATTGTTCTTTTAAATTTCACCTCTTAAATCCATGGCCATCTTCCTGCCTTTGCACATAAAGACATAAAGCTCCACGTCCTACTACTGTGCTAGGGTTACAGATACAAGGTACTGTGTTAGGAGAAGAGGGAGTGTAGTTTCGGGAGCAAGGGTGTTAGGGAAGCCGGTGCTTGACTACTCCTCCCTCCATGACCAGTGGACACAGCCTCTGGATGAACAGTGAGTACCTGGGTTTTGGCTCCAGTGGAACAATGTACTCAGGTGGTTTTTCGGATGAGCCCTTTAGCCTTACACTGTTTTTATCTACTTTCATTCTTTTTTTGTGGCCAAGGATATAACTTGGTTTAGTAAAAAAACTACTTACAGAAATGACTTAAACTATTCATGCAAGAGCAAACCCTCACCAGATGTGGTGGTGCATCCTGTAATCCCAGCAGTTGGGAAGCTGAGGCAGGAGGATCTCTGTGAGCCCAAGGTTAGCCTGGGCTACACAGTGAGTTCGAGGCAAGCCTAAACTACAGAGAAAGACCCTGACTCAAAAAAAAAAGCAGGGGGGGGGGCGGGGAGAGCAGCTGGGGATTTAGCTCAGTGGCACAGTGCCTACTGGGCAAGCGTAAGGTCGTAAGTTCGATTCCTAGTACCAGGAAAAAAAAAAGAGAAAGAGTGCAAAACCTCCACCTTAGCTATATTAACTCCATAAGCAAACAAGACATAGAAAAATATCTGATGACAGTAGTCCAATATAGACCTCAGGGCTCCAGCAGCAAGTGAAAACAGAATCATCCCAACACATGCTTTCTGGTCAAGATTTGCCCCAAAGCTTTTTTCTACATCATGACACACAAAGTTCTCAGTAAGGCCTTGTACTTTATGCTGTGATCTCAAAGCCCAAGGTGTGCACAATAATGGTTACAGTGTGGATCCTGAATGCCTCCCACGGACATGTGCGTTGAAGGCTTGGTCTCCCAGGGTGGTGCCATTGGTGAGCAGTTCTGGTTTAAGAGATAGGGCCTCATGGGGAAGCTGGAGGGTATTGCAACTCCAGCCCCTTCCTCTTTCTTTCTTTGCTCCTGTGCTGCCAAGAGCTGAACAGCTCTTCTGCCATGTTCTCCCACCATGGTTTCCACCTTCACAGGTCCAGAAACAATAGGCCAAGCCATCACAGAAGGAAGCCTCTGAAACACTGAAACAGAATAAACTTTTCCTCTTTTTAACTTGATTATCTCTAGTATTTTATCATAGGGACAGAAAGCTGACTAAACACGGTGTGAGCTCAGTAAAATTCTTTAAACTTCTCTTAGCATATTTCCTCATAAATTAAGTGATCATAATAACTTCTTTCTCTTAAAGTGCTGTGAATAGTAAAGGATAAATTGATGGAAAGTATTTATAACAATGCCTAGTATATAGGAATTGTCAGTAAATGTTGAGAATTATTATTTCTACCATTTCATTTTTGTTTTCCTCTCCTTTCCTCAATTGGGATAAAATAATGAATGACTACAATGAATTGCAGGAGAGATCACTGATTCCTCTTTATTTCATAGAGTTTATTAGATGTAATTGGAGGTCTGTTTTTCAATGATTCACCTGAGATAAAATGACTTTCTGTAACTGCATGGTGTGCACACCTGTAATCCCAGCACTCTGGGGTGCTGAGGCAGGAGGATAGAAAGTTTGAGCCCAGAAAGTTTGAGCCTGGGTAATTTAGTGACTTAGTGAGACCCTGTACCAAAATTTTAGACTTTAAAAAGGGCTGGGAATACACCTTAGCATCAGGCCTGGATTCATTCCTTCATACCACAAGAAGAGACTTGATTATAACTTTTCTCATTGCTGAGACAAAATATACAACACCACAAGTTAAAGGAGGAAAAGTTTATTTCAGCTCACAGTTTGTAGAAGTTTCAGGCCATAGTCTACTTGCTCCCAGGCAGGGTGGCATAGCAGAGGGGCACTGCAGAGGAGAGACAGTCCATGGCAGGGCAGGGCAGGCAGAAGGTGATAAGCAGCAAATAAGCAGTAGCAGAAGCAACAGAAGCAGCCTGCCTTCTTTCTGTCCCTTTTTATTCTATCTGAGCTATCTGCTCTGTAGGCAGTGCCACCCACACCCAGGGTTGAGCAACCTTAATCCCAGTATGACATCCTTATTCCTAGTATCACACCATAGATCCAGCCAGCTCCAAAAAGCCCCAACTATGAGTGCCTGAGGTCTTGTGGGGAATCTAGATATAAACCATAAAATTTTGCTCCTGTCTCCCAGTCTCATACACATCCCTTTGTGCAAAAGGCATTTAGCCCATCTCTAAGAGCTGCCAAAGTTGTAATAGTTTCAGCATTGCTAAAAAGAAGTCCAAGTTCAAAGTTTCCTCTGAGATTTAAGGCAAACTCTTAGCTGGGAGCTCCTGGAAAGAAAGTTAAACACTTCCAACATTCAATGGCCTAAGATAAACATTACCATTACAAAAGGTACAAATAGGGGGATAGCACAAACAGAGATCAAAGGGAGTCCAAAATTCAGCAGGGCAAATATTTACTCCCATAGTTCCACTTCCAGCATCTAAGGCAATTTGTGGCAAGATGTTAAGTTCAAAGAGCTTGGATGGCTCCTCCTCTACAATACTGCCAGTGGCTGTACATGGTTACTCTCTTAGGCCAGCTCTGTTCTCTCCTTGTAGTTTTCCTCAGATGATCCACATTCCTGGCTTCTCCAACTTCCTAGGGTCTCCATTGCACCTTTAGTTTCACACTCCCAGCCTCACACACTGACCTCTTAGGGGCACACTGCCTGGCCTTCTGGGTCTTTTTCTGAAACCTGGGTGGAAGTCTTCCTGACCCCACAACTCTTGCATTCTGCATGCACTTAAAACAACAAAGTATGCCACCAGCTAGGGCAGTAGCTAGGCTTCCTTCTCTTTTGGTTGTAGGGAATGAATTCCTGGATTAGTTGGTGCTATGAGCCCAATCCAGATGCACAAATTCCCTAGGCTGCTGCCAATCTAGAACATGGTGCTCTGGGGCTCTCTTCCCAAAGCACAGTCTTTCACCTTTGCAATTTTGAGGCTGCAAAGGGTGGAGTCCTGCTGGTTCTTGCGATGCCCTCAGGCCATCTTTTCTATTGTCCCCTTCTTTCTCAGCAACCAAGTTCTCCTCTGCTACTTCTTTGCTACTAGAGCTTCCTTTCTGGCCAAACTCAAAATATTTTAAATTATTCTGCTGGACTCTTTGCATATAGATCTGGCCAAAAGCCCCCAACAGTAGCCGTGTCATGGCCTCAACATTAGACTGCCTTGAAATTTCTTCTAATAATTAAGTAGTGACCCCACACTTGATCTCAGTTTCAGACAAAGTCTCTAGAGAACAGCAAAATGTAGACAAATTTTCGGCCAAAGCATAGCACACATAGTCTGGAGTCCAACAGCCA